ATGGCCGGGGTCGTGTCCTGCCCCAGGACCGGTGATCCTGGGGTCAGGCAGGGATCCTGCACCCCGGGGTGGGGATGGGATGCTGAGTGGGGCACAGGGGCCTGGCGCCGTGGTCGTGTCCTGCCCCAGGACCGGTGATCCTGGGGTCAGGCAGGGATCCTGCACCCCGGGACGTGGGGATGGGGTGCTGCCCCCCCCAGGGCATGCCCCCTTGGTGTAGGGCAGTCCATCCCTGCTGGGGTGCTGCCCCTGAGGCTGGGGATGTTGCCCCACTGCAGCCCCCAGAAAGAAGGCAGATCTGGGTGTGTGTGATGAGGAATAGGAGGGTCCAGGGTGCCTGTGTGCCCTGTCAGACAGCTGGGCAGGGCTGTGGGGATCCCCCCCATCCAGGCCAGGGCTGGGTAGGGCCGCTGAGCTGGGCTGTCCCCGGCTGGGCTGGAGCACGTGTGCACATATGTGTGTTACACATCTGTTTTCAGCTGTGCGTAAGGACGCCACGGGCCGAGCCCAGCAGCCCAGCACTGGCAGGGAGCAGGGGCTCCTCAGGGAGCTGTGGGGCAGTGGGGGCCTTGCACAAGCCTGTGATCCCCCCTGTAGGGCAGGGGCCAGTCTGGGCACCTTGAGCAGAAGGGCAGGGCAGGCAGGAGCCCTGCCTGTGGCATGCCCAGCTGAAGCCTGTGGAGGCTGGGGGCTGGGGGGCCCAGCACCCCCCCACCCCACACAAAGACTAACCGAGGTTTGTCGTAGTAAAGCCAAGCCCAGCTCTTTAACAGAGGTAAAAAGCCTCTTCCAAACCATACAAGAGAATGGGAACATCAGTGTCGGGTCCCTACGTCGCCTGCCACAACTAGGGGGTGCCCCTCGGTGTCCCCGTGCACACGGAGGTGCAGTGGGGTAGGGGACGGGTGTGAGGGGGAAGAGGGTGTCCATGCGCGGGGTCAGCGTGCTCGGAGCCGGCGCTGCTGGGCTGCATCAACATCCTCTTGTCAACCTGCAAAGCGGGGCAGGTCGTGGCCTCGGGGAGCACCCCAGCACTGGGGCGGGGGGGCAGCCGTCACCAAGCGAGGCTGCGGGGAAGGTGGGACAGGGCAGGAGCAGGGTTCGGCGCTGGGGGCTCAGGAGTGGGAGACACCAGCACCTCCCTGACCCGCGCAGCGATGCTTCCTTGTGTGGGCAGTGCTGGGTCCCGGGGGGGGAAGCAGAGGTGACAGCAGAGACAATTCACCGCCCCAAGGAGAGAAGCAGTGTAGCGAGGAGGGGGGGCATTGCTGAGCCCTCGACAAGTCCCTGTTCCAAATGGCACCCCTGGGTGGAGGGAAGAGCCCGGGCTGGGGCAGGGGCAGGGTGGGCGCAGCAGACTGAGGACACAGGGCAGCATGGGCAGGGGCAGGCTGGGCACGGGCATCCCGCAGTTACCTGGGTGCTGTTGGGGAGCTCGTACTGCAGCCGGTAGAGCAGGGCGAAGTAGGACTTGGGGAGCGGCCAGGAGGCTGGGGGGGCCCAGGCCAGGTGGAGCTGCTCCCCCCGCCGCTGCCAGCTCCTGCGGCGGGTCAGGCCGCACTGCGGGCAGAGCGGGGCTCAGCACTGGGCAGCGCTGCCCAGCCCTGGGGCTGAGCCCTCCCACAGGGCCCCCAGCACCCCGAGGACACCCCCTGGACCCCACTGCCGCCAGTCTGAGCTCACCGATGTCGCGGACGAAGAAGTGGATGGAGAAATTGAGGTAGGAGGTGTCCGAGAACCCCTCCAGCTGCAGCTGCAGCGGGTGCAGCTCCTCAGCGAAGGGGCAGAAGGAGGGGTCCGTGAAGCTGGCACTGAACCGGCCACGGCGGGGGGGGGG